CCTCTGGCAGCCTGCTTCCTGTGGCGCTTGCTTCCCCCACACACCTCCTGTCCCAGCTCATCCAAGAGGCCTTTCCTGTTCTCCCTCACTGTATGCCCTGGCCCAAGGCAAGAGCCATCCATTCTATCCATGTGGCCTGCATGTCCTGCCTGTGTCCCTGGCAGTCTTTGAAGTCACACGCCAACCAGTCACCTCCCTGCTTCACACCTTCATCCCCTTGGTTGCAAGCCAGGTTCCAGGTGCCTACAAAGCATGGGGAGGCTGTGGGAATCAAGGCCTCCAGAGAGACGGAGTTAGTCTGTCCCATGCCTGCTTGGGGCAGGACCAGATTCACTGACAAGTCTGCCCTGGTATGACTCCTGCTGCGATTGCCCTCGGAGCCTGTCTCCAGCCAGAGGAGTGGCCCTCCAAGATGAGCTGGAGGTGGTGCGTTCTAATCTCCGCCCTCAGCACTGCCTCTAGACAGTGGGGGAGCCAGGGCAGTGGGGTGGCGTCTGGTCCTTTCCTCTGCATGTCTGTTGGAGATGTGGCTTCTGTGGAAACAGCTTTCCTTTGAGAAGACAGAAGCGGGCTTTTTAGCTGATATCAGACCCTCAGAGGACCAGGGCCTTGTACCTCCACTTTGGCCCACTGGATGCTGAGCGGAGGACTTGGGATGAGCCGCCCTGGAAGGCCATGATAAACATAAGTCAGGCTGTGTGCAGATTGACAGGAGATACAGAGACACCCTTGTCTCCCAAAGTTATTAAAGTCAGGGTGCAAGTGAAGCACTTAGCACACGTGGCGGAAAGTACCTGTGCCACATTGAAGTCGGTGACAGATAACCTTCCCACTGGGGGCAGCGGGGGTGTTCTGAAGAGGAAGTTAAGTTATGCACTAAATGACAGTAGGAGTCGAGAGAGGGGACGCAGGAAAGGCAGGCTGGGCCCAGGCAGGGTGCTGTCTGCATGTCAGCTCACCGGTGTGGTAAGGAGGTGATGGGCAGTGTCCAAAGAGGCCACTGTGAGAGCTGTGTGCAGAATGGACAGCCTTCTCCCCTCCAGCACATCTTCTCGGACTGCAGTCTCCTGGGGTGTCGCAATTCCAGTTGTCCTTACTGCAGGCGCCTTCACAGCAACCCGGAAATCTGTCTGCACTGCCCAAGGGTGCCAAGAAAAAGCAGCTCACTTTCTTATCACGAAAGCATTGCACAGTCCTAGTAGGAAAGGAAGGGCAGGCGATTTGGAAACAAATTAGCTTCAAAGACCAAAAAGGATTCAGAATTCCTCATCTCTTACAGGGCTCGTAGCATCTTAGTGTGGATCTCCTAGACTTTTGAACACAGTGGGATCCTGTTATCTGTACTACTTTTTTTCCATTAAGTTTTTTTACTGTATTGATTGTGGTGTCAGAACTTGAACCTAGGACCTCATGCATGGTAGGCAGGTACTCGATCACACAACTCCACAGCCTGCCCCCTCTGTTCCGCTTTCTAACCTGCTTTTCCTAATTCATGAATTGAGAAGCTCCTGAGACACAGAGGCCCACGTCCCTGGTGCAGTGGCAGGTGCTCTGTGTGACGGGGCTGTACCAGAACCCATTTGAGTTATCCTCCCTCCTCCTTTTAAACTTATAAAGTATATTTTTAATTTTAAAACGTCACAGATATATGGACAGTAAATGAAGCTGTCTTGGCCCTGTCCTTACCCTGGGGCGCTTTCTCAGCTGGCACTGGCCCATTTCTGGCCTGCGCTGGCTTCTTTCCCCGGAAAGAGGAACAGTGCGTACTCTGGGCATGTGGCTTGGTTTCCTCCTGTTGGGCTTTTGTTATACCCAAGTACCCTTTGAGTGCAAGGGAAGATGTGTTTAGTGGCTGGGTGGCTTGGGGTTTTTTGTCCAGCCTCATTGTTTAAAACTTCACTAGAGTTTCTGCTGTGGTAAAATTCCTATCAATTTCTTTTTCTTTCTTTTTTTGTTTTGTTTTTTGTTTTACAGGGGATTGAACTCTAGACCAGGCAGCAGCACCACTGAGCTAAATCCCCCTGCCTCAAATCGCTTTCTTTTCTTTTGGGGGGGGTACCAGAGATTGAACTCAGGCAGCAGAACCACTGAGCTAAATCCCCGGCCTCCTATTGCTTTCTTAAGATGCACCATTTTTAAAGTGTCCAATTCACCAGTCTCTAGCACATTCCCAGAATTGTACAACCATCGTTGCTAATTGAAACCCCTGTCCGCATCTCTGAAGGACCTGGTTCCTGTGGCAGTCCCCCCAGGGCCCTCCTGCCTTCTGTCCCTTCACATTTGCATGTTCTGGACACCATGTGAGTGGAAAGCGTTGTGCCTGCGTTTTTCCACAAGTGCTTTGCAGCCATCATTTTGAATCATTGGCTTTGTGGTTAGTTGGTGATAGAGGCTTGGGGCTCAGACTTTCAGGGTGCACACATGGCCTTGGAGCGCATGCCGCAGGCACCTGCTAGTCCTTCAGTGTTCTGGTTTATGGTGTCCGTAAACAGCGGCCTACTGAGCCTGTGCCATTTTGTGAGCAGAGCCTGGATCCGGGGCCCGAGACATCAGGCACCAGGCCCCTTTGGATTATGAGTTGTAGCCAGGCATGGGGAGAGAAGGGGACAGGCCCGAGGGTCTCCTTTGTGCTCTTGCTGTGACCTGCCAGGGAGATGTGACCTCATGCCGTCTTCCCTGTGACCCTGGCTGGCTCTACCCGAACACGTGTACTGTCCTTTCTCTGTGCCAGTGCTTGGTGGCATCCTTCTAGCAGCCCATGGTCCTTTGTCCTGCATCCTGGCTGTGACCTGGCAGGTGGCCCAGACACTGGAGTAGTGTGACAGTGGCCGCCACCCATAAGGCAGTGCACACACTAGGTTGGGTCCTTCTTCATCCAGTCCTGCAGAACCGCTGGTGTGGGGAGTTACTGTTCCTACTTGCTAGTTGAGGAATAATGAATCCCTAGCACATTTACTCGGCTGGGAGGTGCCCCTGGGTTTACCCAACCCAGAACTCGTCTCCTTGCTTCTTCACCTCCGGGTCCTGCCTGAGAGCCTTATCATGGGATGCAGATACTGCACAAACATGCAGCTCAAGTGCAAGCTTTTTGTTGAACTATAACATCAACAGAGAACTGAGCTTCCTTAGCGCCCCAGTGGGTGATTCAGGCCACATGAACAGGTAACTCACCGTCAGCTCCGCGACCAGGTCATCCCTGCCTGTCCCTTCCCTCAGGAGTAGCCGCCATCCTGACCTCTGTCCAGAGGTCGGTTCTCTGGTCTGAAGGTCATGTAACACACTCGTGCCCATGTGTTCTCGCCAGCTTCCCTCGCCCAGTGCCATGTTGCACAATTCCGTCCTGGTGGTGCAAGTCCTGGTGGCTCAGCCCTTCCGCATGCATTCAGTGTGGCCCCAGGGCCGAGGGTACCTTCCTGCACAGCATGTCTCCGGGGCCTGGATGTGAACGTGCACTTTGGGGATGCCAGGGAGAGTTGCTGGGTTCTAGGATCAGCTCAGGTCCTGCCCTAAAAGACCCTGCTGCACAGTGTTCCAGGGTAGCTGTGCCTGTCCCACTGCGCAGGCAGGGGCCCATTTGCCCCATGGCTTCGCCCACCTGTGCTGTGCCAGCCTCGCCCACGTCAGCCATTCTGCTGGGTACATAACCTATCTCACTGCACTCTAAACTTCCCTTTCTCTGGGAACTAAGACTGTCGACAGCCTTCCCAGGCATTCTCTGTGCATTTAGAGACCCTCCTTAAGAAAGTACCTGTCAAAGCCGAACAGTTTCTGTTGGCTTATAAGTCTTCTTCTGATTGACTTGTAGAGATTTCTTGTTTTCCGGCCCCTCTGGAACACTGCATGGCACGGGCTTTTAGGGTCAGACCTGAGCTGACCCATACATGTATGTTGAAGATTTCTTCTCCCGTGCTGTGGCTTGCCTTTTGTTCCCTCAATAGTGGCTTGCTTTTTTTGTTGCGACTGTATCTTGCTATGTAGTTTAGGCTGACCTTGAACTTGCTTTGTAGCCAAGGCTGCCATCAAACTCACAAACCTCCTGCCTCAGCCTCCCAAGTGCTAGTATTACTGGCAGGTGCCACCATACCTGGCTTAAATGGAAGCAACCACAGTTTAGTGTTCAGACTTGTCCTTTGATTTAGAGTGGCCTTGTTTCCGATATACTAATGATTTGCCATCAGAGAAAGATGTTTCCCACCGTGCTACCTCAGGCCAGGATTTGGCCCTGTCCAGTGTGTGCCCTTGATAACCCATTGGGCTTGATATAGTGGCCTTGCACCCTGCAGCAGGGGCAGAGGGAAGAGAAGGGGAGTAAAGTGAGGTCAGAGGACCTGATCAGTCCCCATCGATCCTGAGCTGATGTGCTAGGCTCTGCCCTGGAAGGGACTCATCCAAGGCAGGGCTTTGGAAAGTGCTCTCAGCACAGAGAAAGGGGACTGGAGGGATCTCAGGAAAGAAGCCCAGGGAGCTGATGGGGAACAGGGCCTGATGGCAGAATCAGGGTCTGACAGGTAAGGAAGATGGAGCTGGAGCCAGAAGGCCTTAACGTTCAGCCCCACGGACTGTCACACAGGGAGGGGAATGATCAGTGAGGCTGTTGTCAGATTCTGGAAGGACTTGTGTACCCCGTTCTGTGGGAGCCATCGTAGGCTTTAGAGTAGGGGAAGGCAGGAGCAAGACTCCTCGTGGCTGTGTAGGCAGGGATTGGGGGAGGTGTTGCAGGTGGAGGTGAGGTTGGGCCGAGGGTCTGTTTGGCTGTGCACCGAAGGAAGAGGGGCACCCCAACCTTGACACTTATTTGAGGGAAGCAGGTTCTCATGTGCCTGAGGACGGGAGCTCTTGGCTTTGCAGGGTCTCGATATTGCAAGAGGGAGTCCCGGTGCTGGGCCAGAAGTCAGGCATTGGCTTAGCCACTGGGCAGTGGCACAGGCATGGCAGGAATGGCCCCACCATGCTGCTGTGGGACCCCTGCAGCCCACACCCATCGGACACTTGTTTTGCAGGACCACCTCTGTCAAAGAGAGCAGCTTCGTGGAAAAGATGAAGAAGACGGTGAGTTCTGTTTCCACTCTTTGAGGAAGTCCCGGGTGGGCTGTGGAGGCAGCAGGGCTGCTGGGCCCGGCCCGCTGTGCGCCTGGGCCTCCTCAGACCCAACGCCTCTGCTTTCTCTGAGAATGCTGTATTCGGGTTTTATGAACCTCTACTTTTTGAGAAAACCAAAGCATTAGAATAGGCGCTGCTTTTGTCAAGAGTTTTAGACTAAAATGACATCTCAGCTTGGCTCTGATGTTTTTTCTTATAAGTGGGAGTAAGTAGATTTTCATAATTTAAATCTTTTTCTTTTTTGAAAGATTTTTTTTCTCCATTTTTTGTTAAGATTGACCTTTCCCAAGGAACTCCTTAAGATGAACCCCTTGACTGTGGTGTGAGTTGAAAGGGTTTTGTCTGATAGTAACAGTCACACAGGCAACTTTATTCTTTTTATGACTTCTGTGTCATAATTAGAGAGGCCTTCCCCACACCAAAGAGATAAAGGTATTCATCCATTTTTCTTACAGTGCTTCTATGGTTTTTCATATCTGAAATTCCATGTATTGGGAATCAATTCTGCTATAAGACATGAAGTATAGATACAGTTAACATTGATACTGAGGATTGAACCTAGGGCCTTTGCACTGAGCTATATTTCTGGCTCTTTTTATTTTGTATTTAAAACAAGGTCTCACTAAGCTGCCCAGGTGAGACTTGGAGTCTTCCTGCCTCAGCCTTCCAAAGCGGCCAGTCTACTTTTCCACACCAGTTGACTAAAATAACCATGTAATAGAACTCATCTGCCCTGCACCCTGGCTTGAAATGCCTCCTTTATCATACACGTAATTCCCATATATGCTTGGATCTATTTTTTTATTTCCGTGATTTAGCAGTCTATTTACAGCACCATCTGGTTTACAATTGAAGTTTTATACTTTGACAATCTTGTAATGCTGGATCCTGTCCATCCACCCCATTACTGTTATTTTTCAGTTTACTGGATATATTTCATGTGTATTTATTTATTTGAAGTAATAGTTTATTGAGATATAATTTATATACCATATAGTTTATCCATTTTGAAGTCTGTACCTCAGAGTTTTTTAGTATGTTCAGTTTTCAACAGTTACCACAGGGCCAGGGGTTTAGCTCAGTGGTTCCACTGCCTGCCTTGCAAGTGCAGGACCCGAGTTCAATCCCCAGTACCAAACAACAACAACAACAAAAAAAAACAGTTACCACAGTTAATGTATTGTTTCATACTGGGTGCTGGGTATCAACCTGAGGCCTCGTCCCTGGCCTGTAAGTAACCACGGTGATTGGGATTTAATATGGTGTGTAGGACGCTGTGCTGCATATGCCACACCATTCTGAACAGGGCACCTGAGTGGCTGTGGAGTGTGGCATCCACGTGGAGGACCTGGAACCCACGCCCCTCTGTCCTCTCTCCTCTCCACACTCACACACACCAGATGACACTACTCATAATTTGGGGTGACCTTCCTTTTTTACTTAACATTACATTGTGGTTTTCCCATGTTATTTAAAAATGTGTCAGAAGTACAATCTTGAGCAGTATGTGCGTGTGTGCCCTTCACCACAACAATGGCTGACAATGAGATGCCACCCCAGAGTGACTTGGACAGGACTGGAGGCTGAGGTCCTGCCAGGGTCAGGACTGCATCATCCGCCACTCAGCCTGGTATCTGTCTTCTCTAGGGGAGGAACATCATCGTGTTCTATGGCTCCCAGACGGGGACCGCCGAGGAGTTCGCCAACCGCCTGTCCAAAGACGCCCACCGCTATGGCATGCGGGGCATGGCGGCGGACCCCGAGGAGTATGACCTGGTAAGCGCCGGCCCCGCCAGCAGGAAGGAAAGTCCTTCCACTCTGGGCTGTGGAGAGGCGCAAGGGTGGAACTCACCAAAAGGGACAGACAGGAACAGGTGTCTGCAGTTACTGGTCTGGCAGCTGCTGCCCAGGCCCAGCTAGGCCAGCCATGCACACTTGGGCACCTGCCCCAGCACTGCATGTGCCCAGCCTTCAGGGGCTCCCTGCTGCAGCCCTGACTACCCCTACCCACCAGGTATCAGGTGGGGTCATCTCCAAGAACCCTCCAGGTGGCCTGGTGCCAGGCTGTTGTGAACTAGTGGAGCGGGAGGGGCACAGGAGCTAAGGGGAGAGTGTGGCACGGGAGGGGCTGGGAGAACCGGAGAATCGAGCCCGTTTGGGGCTGAGGATTCTCCCCACCTCTCAGCCGTCTCCATACATTGTTCCCTTGGGGCCCTCAAGGACAGAGTTCCAACCCAGCCACATCCCTGAGGGCCGGGGTTGGAGGGGGTCCTCCCCCCAACACCGTGTGACTCTGCATAGCACAGGGAACTGCCAGCTGCCTGCTCTCCCATTTCCTGGGCTAGGGGGGCTGGCAAGAGAGCACCAGTCCCAGATGAGGCAGCGGGCAGGGAAGGGCATCTGACTCTTAGGCGTGGCTGGCAGAAGGCCCTCTAGCCTGTCATCGCAGGGCCAGCTGCAGGTACTTTCCTGCAGCCCCAGCCCAAGCCTAAGCTCACCCCACAGGTGTACCTTCCCACCATTCCCTCCCACACTCCTGCCGTCTCCACCTCCAGGCCTCCTCTGAGGTTGAGACTCGGGCATGCACCCCCACATCCACTGATCCCCACGGGAAGACCCCCGCCCACCTGACAGATGCCTCACTGCTGCTCACCTGGCCCAGTGCCAGCCCGAGCCATCCCCAACCCTCAGTGCTCCTCTCAGACAGTTGTCCCCGACATCTGGCTGGAAGCTGCCTTGAGCTGGGCTGGCCTTGCCACCCGCGCTGCAGCTGTTTCCCTGGCACCACTGAGGGCCTGTCCCAGCACAGGCGGTCATGGTGGCATCGCCCCTTCCTGTCCCTCCAGGCCGACCTGAGCAGCTTGACTGAGATAGACAACTCTCTGGTGATTTTCTGCATGGCCACTTACGGTGAGGGGGACCCCACCGACAACGCCCAGGACTTCTATGACTGGCTGCAGGAGACAGACGTGGACCTCTCCGGTATCAAGTACTCGGTGAGTCTCCCACAACCTCCCATGGGTTCACGGTGGCCTGCACAGCTCACCTGTACCCCAGCTCTCCATGCCCACAGGGGCACCCTCCTGCTGCTTCCCCCATAGCTTCTCCCAGGGCAGAGGGGGCCAGGGGACACGCTGCTTGTGTCCTGACCTCTTTTGCACTGGGCCCCAGCCCCAGGGGACCTGAGTTCCTGGAGGCAAAGGCCAGGAAGGTGTGGCGGGCTGATGGAGACGCACAGGCCCGGGTGGGCGTGGTGCGCTGCCTCTTGGAATTGAGGCTGCAAGGACAGCTGTGGAGAGGGCCACCTGTGGGCTGCAGGCCCCTCGGGAGCCAGAGGTGACTCAATGTTGTTATAGTGCCAGGTGCTTGGTGGGTGCAGAGGCCTCTAGGGGCTGCCCAGGGGCTCAGCCAGTTCTGTTGGGCACCGCACATATCAGGTCCCTCTGGGAGGCCAGAGCCCAGGCCCAGGCCCAGAGCCACCCCTGTCCTCTCAGGTGTTCGGCCTGGGGAACAAGACCTATGAGCACTTCAACGCCATGGGCAAGTACGTGGACCAGCGGCTGGAGCAGCTTGGAGCACAGCGCATCTTCGAGCTGGGCCAGGGCGATGACGATGGGAAGTGAGTGTCCCACGCAGCTGCCCGCCCACCCAGCCTGCACCACAAGGGGTGGGGGAGCCACAGGGATGAGTGCGTGTGGGACCAAGGCGGGGCACAAACCTCTAGGCCGGAACTCAGACGAGCAGGTCTGCCTCATCCCCACATCCTCTACTGCCAGCCTATCAGACCTGGCAGCCCCTGTGGTTGGCATAGGTGCCGGGTGGCCCCAGGAGAATAAGCCCAGGCACACTGGGGGTGGGTCGGGGCCAGGGCATCCCAGGGAGAAGGTCCAAGCTGACCTGGCCCTGGCTCATCCTCCCCTCGCCGCAGCTTGGAGGAGGACTTCATCACGTGGCGAGAACAGTTCTGGCCGGCTGTGTGTGAGTTCTTCGGGGTGGAGGCCACTGGAGAGGAGTCCAGGTGAGTGGGGAGGCCTTGGGGTGCCCAGCAGCCATCCAAAGCGGGGTCTGGAATGGGGTGGCACTGGGGATACGGTGAGGAAGGTCAGCAGAAGCTGAGTCACAGGGTCCCAGGGGCCTCAGGGTGCCAGGAGCCAGGGCAAGGTCTTCCACTCCTGCCCACAGTCACCAGTACAGCACAACTGTCCTCACACGTATGCTGCAAGGTCCCCCTGCAGCTTCCCCGGCCCTCTATCCTCTATCCTCGGTCTCTCTTCCGCAGCATTCGACAGTATGAGCTCGTGGTCCACACGGACATCGACAAGGCCAAGGTGTACACAGGCGAGATGGGCCGTCTGAAGAGCTATGAGAACCAGAAACCGTGAGTAGGGGAGGCAGGTGGGGCCCGTGGCCTTGTGGTCCCTGGTGCCCTCACACCTCAGGCAGCTGGGTAGCCCACTGCAGGGGTAAAGGTGGCACCTATGTTTTCATGTCTGCTGCCCAGGAGGACATGAGGCCCAACACAGAGAGGAACTGCCCGAGAGGTGGCTGCTGCAGCCAGGACTCCAGGGGCCCCTGCCTTGGTGAAGCCAGCAGGGCAGAGTCTGGGGAGAGTTACCCCTACTCAGGAGGGCAGATAGTCTATTGAGGAAGGACCCTGTTTAGTACGGCGTCCCCAGCTCTGGGCCACCCTGTGTGCAGAGTGTGGTGTCTCTCACAGCTGTTCTAGGGCTTGGCCTGTTTCCTCTGAGTGGGGACGCTAGCCCCAACTCTGCCCTCTTTCATCCCTTGTCAGCAGTACTGACTAGCTGGGGCTGAAAAGCCCTTGACATAACTGGTGAGGTTTCTTGGAGGCCTAGAGGGACCCCCAGCCAACTCTGGTTCCATGTTCCCCGTAACCAGAAGGTCCCCTGGGGACAGAGAGATTCAGATCAGAGTCCTGGCCAGTCATGGAGCTTCTCTTTTCCCTACCCAGCCCCTTTGATGCCAAGAATCCGTTCTTGGCTGCGGTCACCACTAATCGGAAACTGAACCAGGGTACTGAGCGACACCTCATGCACCTAGAATTAGACATCTCAGACTCCAAAATCAGGTACCTGCGGCCTCATGCCTCCCCAGCCCTTCTCCCCAGCACGCCTATCTGGGTGCAGAGCCCTCCTGAGTTTATGTCTCCCTCCAGGTATGAATCTGGGGACCATGTGGCCGTCTACCCAGCCAACGACTCCAGCCTTGTCAACCAGCTTGGGAAGATCCTGGGTGCCGACCTGGATGTTGTTATGTCCCTGAAAAACCTAGACGGTGAGTGTTGGAATCGAAGCCCTGAGGCTGCACCCCCATGGCTGTCACAGCTCGAAGAGGGTACTTGAGCTCCTTGAAGCAGCAGGCAGGTGCCCAGTGACAGGAGCCTGGGCCCTGGGCTTGAGCCTGTGGCTCCACAACTGCCCATTGCTCCCCTGCTCCTAGTCCCTGATTCCTTGCTGCTAAAGGCAGGGGCTGGAAACCCCCAGCCACCCTTCTGGGTCCCTTCAGGCACCAAGAAGCATTAGGCATGGGGCCGCCTAGCCCCAGCTTGCTGTGAACCCTGCCGCCCCCATCCTGGCCCTGGCCCTGGCTCTGGCTCTGCTCACTAAGCCTTCATGGCCCACACCGGGGCTGTCCCATCTGTCCCATGTCAGGATCAGCTCCCCCAGTGCACGGGGAAAGGAGCCCTTTTCTCAAACCCCACAAGGCACCACATGCCCTCTGCTTCCACTGAGGCACCTCTCTGCTTGGCTTGATCCCCGACAAGGACTTCCTGTGTAAGAAGCCCAGGGCTTTGTGCAGGGCCAGCTGCTCACCCAGCTATCTCCCTTCCCACAGAGGAGTCCAACAAGAAGCACCCGTTCCCCTGCCCCACCACCTACCGCACGGCTCTCACCTACTACCTGGACATCACCAACCCTCCCCGCACCAACGTGCTGTATGAGCTGGCGCAGTATGCCTCTGAGCCCTCCGAGCAGGAACAGCTGCGCAAGATGGCCTCGTCCTCAGGCGAGGGCAAGGTGAGCCTGTGCCCCACCACAGCTGCAGCTCGCCCTGGCCCCGGCCCCGGCCCCATGCGCACACTTTCCGGGTCCCCTGTCTTCGTCAGGAGCTGTACCTGAGCTGGGTGGTGGAGGCCCGGAGGCACATCCTGGCCATCCTGCAGGACTACCCATCCCTGCGGCCGCCCATCGACCACCTGTGTGAGCTGCTGCCACGGCTGCAGGCCCGCTACTACTCCATCGCCTCCTCTTCTAAGGTGAGGGCCGCCGGGGGATAGGTGGGCAGGAGCCACGGGGACACAGATCGAGTGACCAGGCCTCCCCCCACAGGTCCACCCCAACTCTGTGCACATCTGTGCTGTGGTGGTGGAGTATGAGACCAAGTCAGGCCGGATCAACAAGGGCGTGGCCACCAGCTGGCTGCAGGCCAAGGATCCGGCCGGGGACAATGGCCGCCGGGCCCTGGTGCCCATGTTTGTGCGCAAGTCCCAGTTCCGCCTGCCCTTCAAGTCCACCACGCCGGTCATTATGGTGGGCCCTGGCACTGGGGTTGCCCCCTTCATAGGCTTCATCCAGGAGCGGGCCTGGCTGCAGCAGCAGGGTAAGTGAGGGAAGACGTGGGAGGACGGGACAGGGCACGGGCGAGGGAGTCCAGCTCACCCCACCCACTGCTCCCAGGCAAGGAGATTGGGGAGACACTGCTGTACTATGGCTGCCGCCGCTCTGATGAGGACTACCTGTACCGAGAGGAGCTGGCCCAGTTCCACAAGGATGGCGCCCTCTCCGGGCTCAACGTGGCCTTCTCCCGGGAGCAGGCTCACAAGGTGAGGTGGGGGCAGGTGGGTGTGGGGCTGCCAAGGGCCAGAGCCAGGCGCCTGGGCCCTCACCGGCCGCCTTCCGCCCCAGATCTATGTGCAGCACTTGCTGAAGAGGGACAAGGAGCACCTGTGGAAGCTGATCCACGAGGGTGGTGCCCACATCTACGTCTGTGGGTGAGTGGGGAGGCCGGGTGCCAGGCTTCCCGCTCTCAGGGTGACCCATGCCCACCCTGACCACCATCTCGGTGAGTGGGGAGGCCGGGTGCCAGGCTTCCCGCTCTCAGGGTGACCCATGCCCACCCTGACCGCCATCTGCCTGCCCCCAGGGACGCACGTAACATGGCCAGGGATGTGCAGAACACCTTCTGCGACATCGCGGCTGAGCTTGGAGCCATGGAGCATGCCCAGGCGGTGGACTATGTCAAGAAGCTGATGACAAAGGGCCGCTACTCCCTGGATGTGTGGAGCTAGGAGCCACCTCACACCTCCCTGCACACCAGACTCCGCCCACCTGTGATCTGTCCTCACTCCCTCCTCCAGCTCCTGGTGGCTCCTGCTCGGCCTGGCCTGGGGCCGGGCCCACGATAGAGACTCTTTCAGGCCTGAGAGGCATCCCCCCGCCCGAGCCAAGGTGGCCTCCGCACAGGCAGCCCGCCACAGGACAAGGGGTGTGGGGCCTACACGTGGTGACACCATGGGCCTTGGCAGCTGTACAGAAGGGGCTGTTTGCAGCTGAGCTGGGGCTTGGCTCCACCACTTGATTTTGAATGTGTAAATAATTTTAAATAATCTCTGGCCCTTGGAATAAAATTGTTTTCTGTATTTGCCCCATACTGCTTGAGCAGACTCGGGGCCCCTGCCCAAATCTACTTCCTCAGACCCCTAGAGACCCACAGCTCACAAGCCCCAAGAACCTGTGCCATGCAGGAGACACCAGCCCCCCACCCCCAGGAGAAATAACCAACGGGGGGCTACTCCATGCCTCTCTTCCTTTATTGAGGCTGCCCCGCCCAGTTCCTGCAGGCCCTGGCCAAGCCCAGATCTTCCTCAGGGCCCACAGAGCCCACAAAGCCCAGGGTAACTGACCCTCCTCGCCACTTGGGGGCGCCACCCAGCCTTCCCGCCACACCCAGGGTCAAAGGCCCCTTTGGGGCCAAGGGCAAAGGCCCTGCTCATTCCTTCTTGCCCCCATGCCGCTGGCTGTGGAACTTCTGATGCACAACCCGCAGGGTGGTGAAGAAATTGCCAAGGAACAGGAGGAGGAAGGGGAAGCCGCACATGAGCACCTGTGGGGAGCCAGGGTTAGGGCAGGGCCAGGTGGAGCAGATCCAGCCAGGTGCCCTCTGCCCGTCCAGCCTGGTTTACCTGCCACTCCTTACACTGGGGGTCCCGGGCCAGGTTAAACAATGTCAGCGCGTTAAAAAGCTGCCAGAACTGCGAGGACAGGAGACTTTCGTCAGTGGACCCAGTCCCTGCTCAAGCCCAGGGCCAGAGCAGGGGACAGTGACACAGGTGTGACTTACATGTCCAAAGAAGAGGAAAGGCAGCAGGAAGGTGAGGCCCCGCCACATCCAGGACTGGAAGCCCTCTGCGGACAGAGTAACCAGGGACACAGTCACTGGGGCCCGAGCAGAGGGAGGGGCAGCTGCCCCCGGCACCCCCCAGGCCTGGGCGACTCACCCACCGTGAGGTCCATGGTGTGCCGCTCGCCCAGGGCGCGCAGGCGGTACAGACAGCCACTTTGGTAGTAATACTGCAGGAACTGCACGAAGCCTGGGGCAGGTGCATTAGCTGGTTTCGGGGCTGTTCCTGTCCCTGTCGCCCTCCCACACCCGGGTGAAGCCAGAACTCCCATGGAAGCTGGGACACTCACTCTGGTACATGGAGAAGGACAGGAACTGGTTCCGGAACTTCTGGTACATGAGCCCATCAGGCCTGAGGGGCACATGGAGGGAAGGAGGTGTGGGCACCCAGGACGCTGGCTCCTGCCCTGTCCGCTCCCAGCAGCCCAGACCCTGCCACTCACCAAGTCAGCATGACCCCCGACAGGAATGTGGACACGTAGTGATGGAAAACCCACCAGCCTTTGATCCTGCATGAGGAAGCCGCTGTTGCTCAGTCCACTTGTGGGACAGCGAGACCCCCGCAGTGGGAGAACCCAGCACCTAGGCCCCACCGCTCGCGCACCGGGAGCCGTTGTTGATGAGGATGCTCTCACGGATGGTCAGTGTGCAGTAGTACCAGACCAGCAGGAAGTTGAAGGCTGCATCCGTCACCCTGGGGAGGGGGACACAGGGTTGGTGACAGGATGTGGGAGGGCACAGGGTCAAGCCCAGCAGCAAGACACCCACCTGGAGTTGAACAGGAAGCGGCAGCTGAAGGAGATGAGGATGAGGATGATAGTGAGGTACAGCTTGAACTTCTCGTACTCGTCCTTGTAGGCAAACCTGGGGGCGCAGGCTCGTGGGCCGGGCCGGGCTGGGCTGCCTGGGGTGACATTCCCACACCACCGACCCAGGAGAACACAGGCCCCGAGCCCCAAGGCTGAGCCAAGGGAAGGTGAGGCAGAGAGGGGTGGGGAGCCTGGGTAGACCCAGCCTGAAACAATGCATACTTGGCCTGCTTGCTCAACAGCGTCACATTGACGTTCCCCAGAACCAGGCTCAGGTACAACCTAGGGGACAGAGACAGGCTGAGAAGAGACACAGAGTGCCTCCCAAGTATCTTCCCACACCCCGGGTGCAGGGTCCTGAGCTTAGGGGTGCACAGTCCAGCCCCACCTAGTGCCCAGCCTCTCTCCGTGTCTGCTCTGACCAGGCTCTTGACCAGGCTGAGCCAAGTCTTGCCCAGGGCTTCCCCACCCTGGCATCTCAGGAGAAGCCTGGCTCTCCTGTCCCCACATCCTGGGTCATTCATGGGGTCTGGTCAGGGGCAATTACCTTCTGTCACTACCCCACATTCCTTGCCACCTCGACTCCAGGTACCGCAGCCTTGAGTCTACTTGGGTGCCTCACACTCACAGCCATACCTCAGATCTCTGTCCAGCCCAGAGCTCCCACAGAAATTTGGGGCTCTGGCTGCTGGGACCCCACATGCCAAGCCTTTTTGCCCACCCAAGAACCTTCCCCCCTAAGGGAATCCCAGCCCTCACCCTGCCCTGTGCTCTCTGACCCAGTTCTCCTTGCTGAAGCCGTCCCCAACCCTCTCACAGCACAGCCACTTCCCAGCCAATCCCTTTAATCCCATCCTCCCCACATTTCCATCACTCCCACAGCCACGCCTGCCTCGTCCTCTGCTAGAGAAACTCCAAGGCCTGACAGCAAAGTTACATTTCCCAAGTAGTGGCCCCCAACACATGGCCCTGTGCACACTCTGGCCCCAGGGAGGGAGCCCCGGCAGGGACTGAGACTGCAAAGGTGATCACAGGGCTCTGATTCCACCACAACCAGTGAGGGTGAGAGCCTCTCCCAGCACAGTGCCCCCCACAGGCCCAGCCTCCATCCCCAGGCTGCTGCTGTGTCACCACGAGGCAAGGCTTCCTCACTGTTCCCAGCAGCGGCCTCAGATGCACCCAGACCCTCTGCAATGTTCCTCTACCACCAGCCTCAGCCTGGCAGCGGCATCGTTCTGTCTCCTCACCATCCCCACGTCTCCAAGCCTCTGCTTAGTGCACCTGCCCTCCATCTCCCCAGGGCCTCCCTCTGTCACCCACTGCCCCTGCCTGGTCCCTCCTCTCAGCCTTTCCTCCCTGCAAGGTAACACACAGACCCAAGCAAAAGCTGCCCTGACCCAGTACTAACTTCCAACGACTACTTTGTAACTACTTCTCTTTCTGTGTACAGCCAGGCTTCTGAAGAGCTGCACAAAATTGGCTGTGTCCCCTCAGCTCCTCCATCAGCCCAAATACCTACTTCCCCTAATGGTCCTCAAGGTTCCCTGACTCTGGAAAGTGACCCCTCTCTGGTAGCACTAAGGCCCCTACACTGGGCCATCTGACCCCAGCTATGGATCCTCTTTCTTCCTTGCCTTCCAGAAATGCTCTCTCTCCAGTCTTGCAGCCTGAAGGCTCCTTTTGGGAGTTCTGCTCAGCTTGAGGCTGTGCTGTCCCCTGTCCACCCTCCTGGGAGGGTAGCTGGCTTTCCCAAGTGCACATCTGACCACAAGCTCTGGGACCTCTCTGGTCTCATCACCCCCCTCACCTCCCAGCTGCATCCTGTGCAGTCACACTCTGTTACTTTGCCCACCTCTGTCTAGCTCGCTCTCTACATCTGAACACAGCTCAACCGCCCCTCAAAGCTTTCTCCAATGTAGGCTGGGTCAGGTGACCGTCAGTGATCACTGCATGACCCACCAGGCTCCCCCACAGTGAGCGGTCAACCAGCCAGGCTGTCCCCACAAAGTTAGAAAACGGAAGCAGCAAGCAGCTTCAGAACGGCTCCCCCAGAAAGCTGTGATAGAGCGCGGAGGGGGGTCTCACCCATTCTTCTTGGGCAAGTAGGCCTCCATGTCAAAGAAGACGCCTTGCCGCTCCTTCATCTGGTTCTCCAGTTCCTGCGCAGCCTCTGTGGCCTCTGCTGGGAGGGAGGCTTTGCATCTGCAGGTGGGGCAGAAGGTCAGGGCAGGGGGGTCAGCAGGCACACTGGACCCCATGGCACAGAAGGGCACAGGAGGCCCAGAGACAGTAGAGACCATGCCAGGTCACCCCACGAGGCAGCATCCACCTCCCACCCCACACCCAGCAGAGGGCTCCTAACTTCTTCAGCACAAGTGCCAGCTCCTGGAGCCGCTTCTTCTGCCGTGCAATGGAGCTGGTGCAGTTCGTCTGCAGCTTGGTCAGCTCCTCCAGCTTCAGGCGGTACAGTCGGTGGGTCTCCTGAGGCAAGCAGAGAAGGCTCAGGCTGGTGGGAGCTGTGGGCCACAGAAGCTGGCAGGGTGTGAGCTCTAAGAGGAGACCTTACTATGCCCAACAGGGTGCTCTGAGGCTGCTCTTCCCCGCAAGACAGGAGTGGAGCTGGGTGTCTTCCACACATGCCCAGAGGCCCCTGTGGCTTTGCTCCCCAACATCAGGCTGGCTTCATGAAGGTTTCTTAAGTCTAGCCACCTAGCAGTTGTCTCCAACCCTACATAAGCTCTTTGTCCTGAGTCTGGGTTTCAAGCTAGCAAGTCCACCTTTGAGACCAAGCTGGCTGTCTGAAGGGGCCCTTGTCCTCTCAGCTCTCCAAGCCAGCAAGGACAGGAAGCCTAGCTTATCTAAGGTGCTTTCTGCTCAGGCCTCCCTGATGCTTTCTTCCAGGTTAAAGGTCATCAGGCTTCAGCCCCAGCACCTCCTGACCTAAGGCCCATCCCTCTCTCCTCCCCCAGCACCTTTGGCCAGAGGTTTCCCTGAGCACTTTGTCCTGGTAGATGAATCTCATAAAGGCACTGCCTGGAGACTGGACAAGGGGCAGTATGGAGAAATTAAGGCAGAGGCCAAGGCTAGCATAGTGGCAGCCACGCTGGGCAAAGCACTAATGGCAGTGGCTGGGCAGGACCAGGGGGCAGCCATGGAGACATGAAGGGACTGGAACCAGCCCAAGAGAGGCAAAGGTCTAACCAAATCTCCAGTTGGCCTGGGTCTTTTTTTTTTTACTCAAGCCCGGGGCCGCCACACCCCCTCAGATCCCAGCATGTGGCATGTGGCATGTGGCATCTCTCTGCAGACGCGGCCACCACCCTCTCCTTCCTGGAGGAAGTCAGCAGCCTCCTTTCTGGCCCAGGACAGAGCAGCCACGTACAAACCCCATTGAGATAATTCGTGCTACATCTTCCCAGTGGCCTCAGCGACATTTCAATCAGGGGCAGGCCCAGCTCACTCCTCTCCCGACCGTAGCCACCTGGGCCTGTCAAGCCCTCTCTCTCCTGGCAGATACTGTCTTTAAGGGAAAGGCCCGCGCCCCATCCCACCCGGAGCCTTCGCGCAACGCCGCTTTCCACCCCAGGGTGGGGACGCGTATGTGCGGAGTGACTTATGGAAAGCCTTGGGCCGAGCAGCGGCTCTGTTGGGAGCAGATCGTAATGGGGCCAGGGCAGGGTTGGGTGCAAACAGCAAGGGAGTCCCCGGGGCCTCGGCTTCTCTCCAAGGCCCAGAGTGACCGAGGTCAACCAGCACAGTGGGGGGTCCAGCGAAGACGCAGCGGGACGACTGCTGTCGGGACGCTAGGTCACAGGACCCCCGACCCCAGCCTGACCTCTTACTGCCCGACCCTTAAGCCAGGGCTAAAGGGGCATCAGTGCTTGGGCCCAATGGGCGACCGCTGCGGGGCTCACCTGGATGGTCTGGAAGTCCTGCTGCAGATCCTCCCAGTCCCGCAGACAGTCACTCAGCGGTCCCGGGGTCGGGGGCTGCATGGCTGCCGCGCCGCGGGCCGCAGCAG